GTGTTGCTTGGCCGGAGTATGTTTGTATGGGTCTGACGAAGAGTTTCTTATCAGAGTCTTGAATACCCACCTGAAAAATGGATGGACGACTTACGAGCAGATGCTATTCCCATGGCCTTCCTGTAGGACAACGAACCGCCTGATCTCACTATATGCCTTCCCATCGAGCCAAGTTGTGCTGATGTGGGATCCGTTCGGTAGTGTTCCACCGCCAGCTGCAACTTGTGGCCCTGCTGGTTCCGTCCAGAGCATCATGAAGACACGGCCGACTTTCCAGAATTTTCTTTGCTCTTTTTGGGGAACTTGACAATATCCTGCTCTTTTGGTTAGCCGTCGCCTTCCTTCCAGGCAGCTAGTATCTCTGATTCACATACTTTTGTCGAGTGATTCGTACGGCTTCGAATTGGGTTCTCTGCGGATGGCCTTTGCGATTGGCATAGGGGATGAAGATGCTGATGAATGTCAGCCATGGGGATACCACTGCGACGGAGCTATTATGAAGTACCTCCTTCTGGTATAGGGTTGAGGTCCATTCTAAAGAAAGCATTGTTTAACCCCTGGGTACCGTCTTGCCCGTCTGCCGTAGAGGAATAGTTGTCGGAGGTAGCATTGCTTGTGGCAGACTGCACAAAGTCCGATCCAGAGGCGTATTGTGAAGGTCCATAATAGGGGATAGTAGAACCTCCAGTACCTCGACCATAGTTGCCAGAGCTCGTATCAGTTGACGGAGGCTGCGTCGGGTACGTGGGAGGGTTGTAGGAAGGTTTAGAAACGGGCCAGGAAGGACCACTGCTAGAAGTCGTATAACTGCCGTCTCCGGTTGGTGGATAAATTGTCCCGCCAGCAGCAGGAGATGGATAAGTTGAGGTTTCTTGAGTTCGAAAACCGCGAGGAACGCTAGCTTCGTTTCCAGTTGTATCTCCTGAATGCCAGTAGTATTCGGGCTCGCCGTTCGGTCCATAACGATCATTATAGTAGCACTGACGCGCCTCGTCCCACTTCGCGTTAGACCATGGTGTCGATTGGTCAGCCTTCTTGCCTCTCGAGGAAGCCATTGGAACAGATCAAAAACAAAAAAAGAATCGCCCAGTCCTGTAAAGACGCGTGCAGCATAGACCACGTTGGGTTTCCGGGCTTTTATGCCCATGCCCCTCAGCAGCAACACCACGTCTGAGCAAGAGCCGCATTTCTGAATGATCATTAGCCAGAGGTACATGAAGGGTGCAATCGAAACCACCGCAAGTGCGGAAGCGGGATGGACCATCATCACCGCGGCCACTGAAGCCTCTCGATGCTTATTGGTGGGGATGACAACAATACACCCTTGAAGGTTTGGTTCGTGGCAACATCTAGCAACCACCACGATGATACGAGACCGAATTTATCACGATCGTTCATTGGGCCCGAAACAGCGGTGTCGAAGAACAAATGAGAGCCAAGGCGTTTGCAAGAGTGCTTCCTTCTCTGAGACGGCCGCTTTAAAGGCTTGCCCTATCGGAGCCTTTGCCCCTTCGGCCCATGTATAATATGCGGCATCCCACGGATCTCCCGCCTCTGTTCGGCTTCTCGCGACACGGCTGATTCGGGCGAGGCCATTTCAGGCAAAGTGAGATTACTGTACCACACTCAGGCCAGGTTCTCCTTTCTGCACTTCGACGTCTAGCAATCTGTTGTGGAGGTTCAAATCGTTGACGTTCGCATAAGTGCGACGCATGGAGACCTGAGTGTACCCGAAAGGTCTCATAGCCAGTTGTCAATTGGTAGTTGGACAAACAACTCCCAAATCGCTCGGGGAGGAAGGCTGGAACGTCAGAGGGCAGGTCTGAGTTTAAGGAATGTTCAAAGATTAGACTCCTTCAGCCCACGATCCAAGGGACACGACGAATCCCTGGAACCAGTTTCAAAGCTGCTTTATTCTCGAGTCAAGCTCTCTCAGGAGTCAAGTTGTTTCTCAAAATGCCCCACTCCGGACTAAAGCTTAAAAGATGTAAATGTGGTTAGGGCCAGAAAATTCAAACATGGCAGTCGACGAAAAAAGCGAGGGAGCATCATCCTCAGACGGAGGGGGAAAATACCGCTGGGGAGAGTTGATGCAGGATCTGAACTCTCTTTCAAGGTTGCAAGAGGATGCATCTCACGCACAAATCGATGCTCGACAAAAAAGGCGGGAGGCTTCGTTCAAGAGACAAGATGTCTGGCTCAAGGACGCGGAGTTTATGAGACACGTCCAAGAACTCAGCGCACAGGGACGCTTCGATGGGTTTGAAGGCTTAGCACAGCTGGCGAAAAAATGCCAAACGGCGCGCGATATTCTGGGGCCGGTGGAACAGGAAGGGATTGAGGCAGAGCAGAGATGGGAAGGGCAACTCTGGGAGTTGCAACGGGCCGAAGAACGGATATTCCACGATTATCAAGACGAGTTTGGAGAAGCTGCAACATACTCCCTGAATTCGCAAAGCGCTGTATCTACTGAGGACAGGCCTCCAACTGTTCCAAAGGTTCCAGAGGAACAAGACATGGAAATCGAACATCCAAACATAATTTCTCCCAGCCCTGAGAAGTCGCTAGCCAGATCGACTACATCACTGGCGCATCACCAGCAGACGCCATTGGAAGCAGATGCAACTCTTCACCCAAGTGACAGCGAACCCAGGAATGTTATACTTTTGGATTTGGTCGAAAGTGTAGAGAACGAAGCAACACTACCCATAGCAGAGCCGTTTCTCGAATGGGATTCCGACTCCGGAATAGCAGACATCAGCCGCATCCCTATTATGAACACAAACGAAGACTTAGCACACTCATTCCAAGAGCTTCCAAACAAACACTTTACCAGTCTCGAGCCATATCCACATTTGCTGAACGACTTTGGTTCAACGAGAGATAGAGTCAATAAGTGGTTGGAAAATACAGCCCTGATTTCCCGTTTTGAAGGGGTTTCCTTGTATACCATCTTGAAGGATCAACTTAGAAAGGAGGACGCGCTCCTGCCAACAAATTGGGCCCAACTGGTTGTAGCATATTGGTACTTAGATGGCGCTTCTATTCCTCAAATGCGTCGACAGCGAAAGGGCGGGGAAACAACTCAGGGCGAGAACCAGAACGAGCAAAATGCGAAGTCAAAATGGCAGAAGCAAATTGGAGACTGAACAAAGACAGGGTGAAGGACAAACGCACAAACAACATTGCTTTAGGAGGAACGCAGATGATTATCAGATCAGTCTAGATTCATTACTGGAGGTTAAGTTTCCTGAAGTTCTAACTGGGTTGCCATTCTCATTTCCCGCATCAATACCGATGTTGGGTTGACAACTTTTTAATGCATTTTATTCATAGGAGGAGCAATAGATACATTTATCATTTGGGGCAATTTCCTTGGTCTAGAGCTCTAGAAAGGTTGGGAACACATGGGGAGTTGAGGAGTGAGTGATAATAAATTTAATAGGCTTTACCGGAAATGGCTTCTCATCTACGCCAACTTTGTAACATGCTCAGAGTTTACAAACTTTTGAAGTTGCGCAAATGCTCAAACCGATCGAACTTTCCTCCTCCAATCGAAGGCTCCTATTAAAACAGCGAGAAGTTCACATGAACTGCAGATAAGCCGATAGCAGATGTGGCGTGTCGCCCCTGTACTTGCATGCTGCAACCCCTCTACCCCCACCCCACATTGATCAGCTGCTCAAATTTTCGGGCGTTTTGAGATCCCGAGAGAAGGTATCAACGACAGGGGACGGGAAGCCATGAGGGAACGGCCAGTTGGGAAAGATTCCGGGGCCAGAACTTCCAAAGAACTTGGAACTTCGGGGACTAGGCAGCAGTGCCGCGCCTTCAACTTGTGAATCATTGGGCGGAGCTGTCACTCCTGACCAGTCCCACGGCCCGACCCGCGCGAGTATCTTGGTCGTCCCCCCGAAGTCTTGCTTGCTTCCCAAGACCTCGTCCTTGAATTTCTGTACTACCACACTCAACTTGAAGGCTGATCATACGACTCACCATCAACCGCACGTGAAACAAGGAAAGGGGCTCTGCCTAACCAATAACACTCTGGGGGTCATGCATTCGAACCCGTTCGGCCTGTCGTGACAGAGGAGACGGCGTTAGCACACCTGCCGAATTGTGATTTTAAAGACACGTGTGGGGGAGGGGGGCAAACTCATACTGGCATGCAGAAGATACATATATCCGAGAGAAGTTTCGGTGCTTTGTACAAGGAGAATGGATGTCAACATCGAACCTCATCCTTGGGTAGCGAACAGCATTTCCCCAGAAAGACCCCTGCCCGCATGCGTTCCAACTGCACTGCCGTTAATGGAACAGTGCAAGATGTGATTCCTCGTGGGAGACACGATTTCGATCTCCGATCAGCATGCGGATGGTAAATTCCATGCAATTTGGGTGATGTGAGTGGTGGCTGGCGAGGTGCATAAGCCCCGCAGCCCCGACGTCGGGACGAGATGTGAAAATACTTTTCATCTTCCTCGCCATCACCACATCTCACACCAACTTGGCAGACTTCTGCGACTCAAAAGAAGGAGTTTGGGAAATCTTATCCAAGGTGTTTCATGTATAGTACCAGGCAGGTTGTTTAATCTTCGCCGCTGGCTAGCGTGCGGCGCAGTCAGCGAGATCATCATGGCTATGCATTTCCTTCATCCTCCTGCCTGTTCAAATGAGCTCTCAATAGCTTCAAGCCACCTCCTCTCCCAGGATGAACCAGAGGAGAAGTTATCTGTGACTTGTCAAACGTCCGGCGCCAGATGCACTGGTGGGAACAAGCTCGCATTTAGCAGTGCTACCGCATTCTGGGTGCGCTCCTTATATCAAACTTAAGTATAGAGCGGGATCTGTGTCTGCACTCGACCGATCTATATTATTGATGGATAACATCCCAATCCGGACTGTGCCTCGTGGGCCAATGAACTCACAGCTTTCTCTGTGCGGTGGAATTGATTATATAGGCTCCTCCTCACCCCAATATGGCCGAAAGCGGGAGTTCTGATAGATTCAATCTACTGGGACATGCCGCAAGCTTTGCAAAGAGCATATCCGTACACGGTAATTCCGGAACTGGATACGAAATGGTAGACATCGGTACCTCGGACATTGGTACGCAAAAGAGTTCAATCAGCTCACAATATTGCCCCTCATATTCTGCAACGTGGGATGAGGACATTGAGCAGGATGGAAAGGATGGAGGGTCCTATAATGTGTGAGCTACACTTGTCAAACATTGAATTCGAAAATTGACAATGGCCAGATCTTCACGGCAATTGGAAGCCCATTACCCAACCTTTACCAGCCGAACAACCTCAGCGTCGAAGAATACTCTTCATTCCGTCCTCCGGTTCCTCCGCCGATCTGGCAGATATGGCTCGCACGTCTCCTATGAATATGCAAATCCAGGCGGCTTCGGCTATGAAGAACGGAAGTTCAGTGGATGGCGGGGAGGCATCTTAGCAGCAGCTACGAGTACGGGCATTGTGCTGCTTATCAACTTGACATTCACAATATGGGCGGGCTCGACATCCAAGAGCGGTTTGCGGATTGGCACATTATATGAAGGCGAATGTGGCACCGTAAGGCATGCCGACACATGGCTACATATTGCCATCAATGCCATGGGAACCATCTTACTCCGTGCAAGTGACTTCACGATGCAGTGTCTGAGTGCCCCAACACGGAGTGAAATCGACGTTGCTCATTCTAAAGGACGATACCTCGACATTGGACTTCCGAGTTTAAATAACTTGAACGGATGGAAAAAGAAAGTAATGTTTACGTTCCTAGTTTTGTCCACTCTTCCATTACACTTCCTTTGGAACTCAGCGGTTTTCACCACAACCCAGAATCTCGATTACAATGTTTTTGTAGTCGCGCCCAGTTTCCTCAACCAATCGACCGTAGACTGCATCCAGAACGTCACCCTGTTCAATACCGGCGTTCTTGCTACAGACTACTATCAAACCCCGCTCCAATATGGAACCGCAAGCAACGGTACAGCTGTATCCAACGATAATCAATTCTGGCAAGCCGACGTCTGCAACATCTCCAAAGCACTCCTGGCCAACTCCACTGCAGGGACACTCTCCCGTCTCAGCAATGAAGAGTGCATCAACGCCTACGGCCCCGGAAATGGCAACATGAAAGGCTGATCCAACCTGCTCGCCGTCACAAAACCCGCAGCCGCACTCTCACACCCAAATAACACAATCCTCTTGCAATTCCGGTACCAAGAATATGTCTCCAATTACACAGGCAATAACTGGGTCTGTGACCCGAACTTCTTGATTGTCAACAAGTACAAATGCAACTACAAACACATGGCATCGAACGCCAGCTCCTGGACTCTCGGCCCCATCAACGCGAACGGCAAGAATCCCTTTGTCCTCTTCCCTTCCGAGGAATGGCCCATCGATTACTGCTTAGCACAGCAGACAGACTTGTCTGGGAAGTGCCAGCTGCAGTACAGTTTCGTGATCATGATCAGCGTTCTCATCGCCAATGCGATCAAACTGACTTGTATGATCTTCATCCTCCGCACTCACCTCGAGCCTATCCTCGCCACCATCGGCGACGGAATCGCCTCTTTCCTCGAGCGACCCGATCCATTCACTGTTGGCAGACCCTTCTTGAACCGCCAACAAGCACGGAGATTCAAGAAGATCGGAGTTGGCGGTAAAGTCCGCCGGTATATGCCGCGATTCGCCTTGCGGTGGTGGAACGCCCCCAGTCGACCGAGATGGTTCATCACCTTGACCTTGTGCACTATCACAATCCTCACCGTCTCCCTGCTCCTCGAAACGGGGAACAGCAACCCAATGGACCAATCCCTAGACACCCCATCCCCTTATTCAATTGGATTCGGCACTTACAATGCCCACGCGACACTCAACATCTTCTACACTTCGTTCACTTCTCCCACCGCGGAGGACTTCGCATCAAACAGCCTCCTCCTATCCATGGTTGCCGTCGCCAATCTACCGCAAGTTATCGTTTCTTGTTTATACTTTGCTTATAATACAGTCTACATATCGATGTTGTCCGCTGATGAGTTCAGTCGGTTCAGCTCTCATCGTAAAGCGCTGCGGACTACGAATCCGAAGGATGAACAAAGGAGCACGTATTGGCTCAGCTTGCCATGGACGTATGCGCTGCCACTTGCGGTTTGTAGTTCAGTTCTTCATTGGTTGATTTCGCAATCATTGTTCATTGCCAGAACTGAAATCCTCGAGACGTACGGGCAGCCGGAAGAAATCAGCTATATGGAGGTTGGATACTCCCCGTTGGCAATTCTTGTGGCGTTGCTGTTTGGGTCGGGAATGGTGTTGGGATTGATTCTGAATGGACTCAGGAAGTTGAGACAATGTGTTTTGGTCGGGAATAACAGTCTGGCGATTGCGGCTGCTTGTCAAAAGCCCGAGAAAGATGTTGATGCCCAACTGAAGAGGGTGCAGTGGGGTGCCGTGAGGCATCAAGAGGACCAGCGACCCGGGCATTGCTGTTTTACTAGTGAAGATGTGGAGACACCTAGGTTCGGAAATTCATATCTATGACAGAGATGTAATGGCAATGTATGGCTAAGATAGTGTGTTCTAAATTATATTTATTGACATAACTATAACGATTGGTCTATAATCTCCTCCGAAAAATGATTCGATCTTGTATTCGAGACCACGTAGTCCGCTTTTCGTTTGCCTACCGCCTTTCGCGATTTCTGTAAGTCGTCACCATCTTGCGCAATTCCCACGAATCCAGTTCCCGCAGAATTAGATCGGCTCCAGAGGGAAGAAAAATTTTGAGCATTTCGTCTTTGTGTCGACCAGAGAAGGGACGCTGGTTCCCCGTGCTTGAAGAAGCTGATTTGGGATTAACTTCGAATTCGAGGAATGCTTGAATGCTTCGATTAGTTATAGACTTGGTTGGGGCTTTGTATTTGAATATGCTGATACAGTTGATTGCAAAGAGTATTTAAATGCCACGCCTCAAATTCCAGAAAGACTATCTATAAACCCCATGCCGTATTTCCAATTTGCAAAGTTACTCCCTATTCACACTCTCACCATCCAAATTTACGCTCGCGGACCGCCTCCTTCTCTCCTCTCTAGGAAAAGCTTCCTGAGATGCGCATCATCCTCATCGTCACGATTGCTTTCACCTGTGATGGCAGTTATTTAAGTGCTATTGAAGCTATACTTGGGCTAGGGTATATTGCTTACAATACTGTTTATCGTATCTAACAACCTCACGAAAAAGATCAGATAACTCCCTATTATTCCCCAAGACGCCGGGATGATCCTCGAGATAATCCCTCGATTTCCACTTCGTAGAATACGGAGATCTAGTCCCACGATATACGAGGCTATAGGCAGTCGTCAGTACGTCATACATGGCCTTTGACTTTTCTCTTTTGTGTATTATTTTCGCTGCAGTGCAGTTAGTCTCTAGCATTACTAGTTTAGGCGTTGAGAATTGAAGAGGTGTTGCGACTTACAATCAATGAAGAATTTCTTATATCGCTTCAACGAAGATCTGTACAGCAGTGCCATGCGCCGCAAACACAATCCCAAGATAAGGGTATCTTGAGGATTGCATCCGTTGGGTCTCATTGAGGCGTCAATAGTAGAGAGGATCTCTTTTTCGGTAGCTTCGAATCCCTCTGCCGCAATTATCAAGAGCTGCAATCGTGCAACCCCGGACAATCGTCTTTCGATTCGGGCATCATAGATATCGAAGAGTAGCGAGCTTGCGTTGTCGACATTATAAACGGATATTATTGGGTGGCCTTCGAACAACCACGTGCTGAGGCTTACCAAACGAATTGTTAAGTTCACGAGGTTATGCTGTTTTGTTGTTAGTTCGCTTGACTTTTCACGTTTTAGGAGAGGTATTACATGTCGTAGATCTGGCTTGGTATTCAGATATTCGAAGAGAAACTTGTCCATGACGTATGGCCGAAAGTCTGAAAGTTCAGAATATTCCGATAAGAGATTTCTTCCCCAGTTATCAAGGTCGAATGCACTTGGAAATGTACTTGGATCAATTGCGTATGACACAACTGCTGGCCTCCTAGATCCAATTGCCCATACCACAGCGGTGTCCATGTCGCAAGTCTCATATTCTTGAACTCGGACGATAAGTGGTATCTTCTTCGGGAAAAGGGCGCGCTCTGTGCCATTGGTTGTCACACGGTCTCCAATTATAATTTTACGCCAGGAACCACGGAGTGTCCTTGGTAGCAGACTGAGTCTGTTCTTTATATCATAAAAATCTGGTTGTGAAAAATCAGAACTGCCATATATTGTACTGTGGATACTTTGCAGACCTGGAATACTCTGGCGAAAAACCAATATACCGCCTTGAATACAGATATGATTTGCTACCAGCTTGGGATCCTTTTCCGAAGCCATTTTTTGACAATTTCTACATATTTGTTTTGCGTCACACTGCTCAATCAGTCAGCCAGGATACAGTACTAGTGTTCGAATCTAGGGCCACAATCACCTTTCGATTTTTTATCGCACACATGACACAGGAGCCATTCTCCCGAACTTCCCTTGCATTCTCCTTCTCTTTATCTGTAAGCTTTCTTCTATCACTATGCTTTAGTAGTGGCTTCTGAGGACCGTAGACATGCTGCGAACGCGCCAAGCTTTTTGAAATATGTGGTGCTTTCGGATGCGATTTTGCTGGTGCTGGCAGGATTGGTGGGTTCCTCCTGCCATTAAAACGGACTGTATTCGTTACCACAGTGCTGCCAAAGTCATTATCATTCATTTTGGTGTAGCCAGGACATGATTGTGGAGTTTGCACGAGCTGGTTCGTATTGGAAGAGCATTTCTGATAGCAGGAAGCGGCAACAGGAATCGATGGCCATAGACAATTTGTCCCAAAAGGAGTTGCCTTGGTACGATTGCCGTCCAAATCGGTGTTGGCGATCCGCCCATTGGGACATGGTCTAAAGTTCAATGAGGCCTCTTCAGGGTGATCGAGGTAAGTGTCCAAAGTCTTGGAATACTGCGAGTTTACCTCCTGAGAGGATATGTCGGGGGTTTCAATCGCACTCATACCGATTGTTGCGATGCTGGGACAAGTGGCCATGTTTCGTGGTACATTCTGATCCTCTATCCTTGGAGTAAAAAAATGTCTCTGGGCGGTGGTTTCCTGGGCAAGGGAGTAGTACACTGGAGTTTGCGACACTTGGGCAAAAGGGCCATCAGCGGTATATGACGTTTGATTGGAGAAGTCAATGAGAAGAGATGGGTCAAAGCCACATGCCATGTCCAGAAGTCCGGAATCATTGTTATTGTGATGGCTGCTAGCAGGCCCGACTTGGTTGAAAGTATAATTGTGCTGTTGCGCCCAAGGATCCCAGTTATTGTTGCTTAGAGAACCATGACCAAGTCTGTCGGAGTTATTTGGTGAGAGAAATGAGCTCCCAAGATTGTTTGAAAGCCCCTCCATTGCTTCGGAACCGTCAATATCGTTGAGATCGCACTGTTGGCCTTGTGCCTGGGGATGGTTGTTTGACCGTGGCAAAATATCTTCCGCTGATGTTGATCTTGTTACAGCGGAGCTTCCCAGGGCACTGGTTGCATGAGCGGCGAAGAACTCTAATTCCGTGGAGTCAACACCATCGTCCATGGGTGCGCCAAAGCTGGAAGAATAGTTCGAGTAGTTGAAGGAGTTCTCGAAAAGGTCAGGATCGTTGTCGGGATCGTTGGACGATTCTGGTCCCATTGTGATGCGAGTGAGAAGGTTGCAACAATGCTGGGCGTGATCTGGCTGCCAGCCTTGCGGCTCGAGTTGCATGGGAAAGAGTGCTACATTCAAAAATGTGTAGAGGGAAGCTTCCATAGGTAAATAATCCTGCCCGCTGTTGCGACGAGATTTATCTCATAAGTGCACGTGTTCGACGCCCGAGATATGGGAAAAGCCCGCTCAGCCCACTAGCCTCGCCCATTAGATCTATCCAATCGAGTGATTTCGGTGAGGGAGATCTTTAGGCGTGATAATAGTCGGACTTGACGTCGCGCTAAAGGGGCCCTTCCCTTTAGTCGGGGAAAGCGAAGTGTCCCGCACCACACCAAAATTTCTATGCAATCGCAGACACTTGAATTGCACTATATAACCAAATAACCCTTAAATTAATGCGTAATTGAGGATATAATCTCTCATTACTCTAATGCTACAAAATCTGTATTTTGAGCTATTGAATTAGTCGATATTACTGATCTAGGTGGTAAAGAATATAGAATCACCTCCTCCCCACTAACCCCACTATTTATACTCTCTCGTGCCTCCTCTACCTCCTTATCTGATCCCCTAGACTTCTCTGATATTGCCCGTATATATAATTGACTAAGAGGGTTCCCCTTTACCCGGTGAGCTTGTTCAGATGCGAGTATTACAGGATTAATAGGGATATTAGTAAAGATTACGGGATCTTTGGCCTGTATACGATCGAATTTAGCTTGCTCCTTAGCTACCTTATTATAAAGTGATTGGTGCTTAATTCGAATGGCTTCAAGCTCGCTTTCCGTAGGTTTGTTTTGGGGATCGCGAATTGGTATTAGGAGCTCGGGAGGGATAATTATATCGGTTCCAAGGACTTGCTTCTTTGCTTGTGCCTCCAGATCTCTCACTCTCTTCTTCCTCTCTCTCTCTGCCGCTCGTGCGGCGATTCCTACTCTTTTGAGAGCTTCCTTTTTAGCTGATTTAGCCTTTGCGAGCTGTCTTTTAGCCTTCTTTAGCTCCTTCTCTGCTGCGTTCCTCACTTTAATCTTCTTCTTTTCTAGAGCATTAGATGCATTTAATTACCCCCCTCTTTGGAAACTAAGCCGTGTATTTAGCTTAGCCTTATGACGTTTAACCTATGCCTTACGAGCATTCTGGGCATCTAGCTCTTGTAAACTTCCAAGCATTAGGTGGTTCTTGGTAGCCTTAATTGTGACTGAATACTCTTTGCGAGAGGAGGAGCTTAAAGCATCCAGAATCTTGTCGTTGAGATTATCGAGCCGTAGAATACATTCGTTATATGAAGAAGGAGGTTTTGGAAGGGTAGGTAATTGGTATTCGTGAACAGGAGCAGGAGCAGGAGCAGGCGTGGTAAATCGTGCGTTTTCTGCGTTTTCTGCGTCCGATTCAGTTTCCGATTCAGATCCAAACTCCAGAAATTAAAGGCCAGTGTCTTTCCTTCCCTTTTTGCCATACTTCTTGAGCTTTCTCCGTACTGCTTTGAAACTGACAGGCCAAATTCCAGCGTTCTAAAAAGCGTATTTGATCGTATAAATAGTAAATGTCTTCTCCCGTATTCCAGGAAGATCGCGAAAGAAGCACTGGACGTTATATTCCGGCTCGTACGAGCGAATTGCATTCATAATATTGACCTGTTAGTAGTGTTTCTATTCCCTAAAAACACCAATATTACATGGTTAAAGTAGGTGGGTTTAATGAGAGGGGAATTGGACGATTCGTATCTTATTAAACGTAGCTTTTAGGATAAAATCGTCCGCTTGGTAGCAAGTTGCTCCGTTAATTAAGAGAATATGCCATTCCTTATTAGGACCGCAGTTATTATGCTTGATAAAATGGTCTAACCAAACCATATAAATGCCCTCGTTCGTATATCCTATAGGAGAGACTGTAATAACCTCATGACCGGTCATATTTTCATGGAACCAAGAAACCATAATTATAATTCCAGGGATAATTACTACCGGAGGAATTGCCTTGCTATCTGCAGATATATACTTAATTATTATAAGAGACATGCGATTTTCTGGTATTCCTGTATATATCTCCTTAATTCTAATTAGAACCACTACTTCCTCTCCTGAAGGCATACAAATTCGTACGCCTTTCTCGTCTATATTATGTATCCGATCCCCATAGCATATACCAGTTTCCTCTAATGCCGGACGATATTTAGTCTCAAACCAATCGCGGAGGCTCTATTCGGTATGGAGATTAATACGGTGGCTCGCAATGGGCTTCGTCTTAATCGTATGGAGTTCTGGAGTACTCTTTAGCCATTGAGAGAACTATTTCCAAGATAGAGCTGTTTTATTATCCTCCGTTCGCATCCATATTGCGCAGTTATATATTATTTGCTTTATAGCTCCTTTCCCGCCATTAATCGCGTATGATACCGCGTACTAAATTAATGCCGCGTATTGATTAGGACGGAGGATCTTGTTCTGCCCCCCTTTTTGCACTCTCACTGTCCCCATCTTCTTCCTCTCTCTCTGCCACGCTTTCCTTACTATATCTTCATTTCGTACGCAACACGCGCGTGCCGCAGTCGCAGGAGTCTCTTCTGGGTTGGCCTTGAGGAACTGAATAGCCTCACGGAGCTTATCCTTCTCTGGCATATTACGGAGAAGCGTGTTTTTGGGGAGGTTGCTTAGGCGAGCCATTGCTATTGAATTTGACTGATTTTCAGGGAAATTTGGGCTGGTGGTGATCAAATTAATTGATTTTTACTATGGGTGTTCCATACAAATTGGAAATTTTTGCGATCGGTGCGGGACACTTCGCTTTCCCGGGACACTTCGCTTTCCCCGACTAAAGGGAAGGGCCCCTTTAGCGCGACGTCAAGTCCGACTATTAATGCGCCAAAATTCTGAGCCGTCAGGGAGAACCCAATAGCATCGGTTCGGTGAGGTTCACGGGCCACGACGGGCACTCCCTCCAGGGAACACCTCCGAGGCATGATTCTTCTACCATCTCGCCGTTTCTTATCAACAGATGGGATGGGCCGGGGCATTGACCAATACCAGATGTTCGGTGAGGGTGGGAAGGAAGCTTAGCAGTCATGTGGGTTTCTGCTTTGCATCACGTGTTTCGATATCCAATCCCATGTTTTCGGTCTGGAATTCGCGCTGTGTGGCCTTGTTACCGATATACCCTCATTGGATGTCAAATTCGACCCAAGGTCTTACTTAGCATATACTCCAACTGCATTCCGTTGTCCGGAGGGGTGTGCTTGAGAAGCCACAGGCTGATGCAAAAGTATAAGATGACAAGCTTGCCTCTTTGAAGATGAGCAACCTTATCCTCAGCTGAAATTTTGTGCATCTATCTTCAACATTTGGTAAATTCGCCTGACACGGCAACAGAGTCGCCTAGCCTATCGACCATCAACTTCCCCTCTCAACACAGTCCCCCATGTCGACCCCTCCCAATACAAGCCATGACTCAAGAAAGAATAGTGGGAACCGTACATACACTTCTCTTCTAGATGTAAATGGTAAGTACTCGTATGGGGGACTTCGTTCCCTGAAGGTTCGGTCCTAGTTTGATTTTTATACTGATAGTTTCTCAGGTTCTTTTGATGTTACCTTCCGGAAAAACCAAAAAACCAACCGCGCTGGATCTGGCAGTGACGAAGATGCATGGTCAACTGCTACAAACACAAGCGATTTTAGCGAAAGCAAAGCAAGCCGGGATGACAGCGGATCGGCCAACAATGGACAGATCAAGAAAGCCAAACGGAAGGCTTGATTTTGGAGCTGGGACAAGTGATGCGTTGGGAGAATCTGCAACTGACTCGCTGTTTTACTAGTGACTCGTGTGTCAAAGAACTACTCATACGACTCATGAATATTTTGAGTAACGTGATGCTCTAATAATTAGAGTAGTAGTAGTGAGGATGTGGAGACGCCTCAACTCGGAGAGTTATATTTATAGAATATATACCAGTGGCTTTGCTGATATTTTGTGAATATTCTGTGAATTAGATTCTTGAACGAAATATGGCGGAGACGTCTTGTCTAGGTCCTCCTGCCAAAAAGCCTTTCGCCGCGGATTCGAGACCATTTGGAGTTTGTTTTGCTTGTGTCCTTTCTTGGTGCCTCCCCTCTAGGCCCCTCATTTTCAATTACCTTTTGCCTTGCTGCCTGCAAAAGTTCCCGCATGTCATCCCCGCCTTTCCGCAATTCATCAAACTCAAGAGAGTCCAGTTCTGGTACAAACGGATCAGCTCCGTAGCGTAGAAACAGCTTCAGCACTTCAGGTCTCCTCGCAGAATCAGAAACAACAAATTGCCAGATGGTTTTGGTCTGAAGGCCAGAAGTCCTGTTTTGAGTCTTGCGACTGATATGAAGACGCTGATTTGGACTGACGCCGAGTTTGAGGAATGTTTCGATTAGACGGAGACTCGGATGCTCATAACTGAATCTGCTATGAGTGATCCTGTACTCGGCAACGGCTATTTGAAACAGATACGAGAAGCGGGCGATTTCGTCTGGATAGTGGAAGGATATCGCTTTTTGTGTCACGTATGTATCCAATTGCAGCTTCACTGCTAGGTGTAGAAATGATGACACTGCCAGCTCGTCCGATGCCGTAGTCAGCGGGCATCGCTTATAAGGTATTAAAATACCTAGAACACCTGAGGACATGATCTCCACCGCTTCTTTCTCCAGTATGTCGAGTAAGTCGGATTGTGGCAGCATATTGGGTGAGCGACTACGATATATGTTTATCATCGAGGCCGTGAGCAGATCCCAAAACACCTCGCCGATTTGATCGGAAGTTTTGGCATTCCTATAACCTATTTTGGAGCAAGCTATCGCAGATACGGCGAGACGTGCTGCAGGATTGAACGGGTGTGTAGTGGCTTCACGAAGATTTGCCCAAATTTCTGGTCGCCGGACGAAGTCCCTGACAGTCCTGTGTAGATATTCCACTTGGGCTTCGGCGGGGTCCCGTTTGTATCCTGTTTGCAATTCTAACAAGCCTTTGCTACAAGCATTGAGACGACGTCTCATCACTTCGGCTATCGCAGAAAATTTGGCATGCTTTGCTTCATCTCTCGGTTTTTGCAGATGGAAAATAAATTCGGGGTCATCCTCGTCCGCAAAGGATAATTGAATGGAAGTTAACCCTTCATCGTCAAGTTCTAACGCCTTTTCGACAATCTGAATGAGTTGTGAAGCCCTCCCAAAGTCAACAGATTTCAGGATATTCAAGAAAAGAGTTTCAAGGTCTGTGGGCAGTGAGTCCAAACGATTTTGAAGGTCCGAAAGACGGTCACCATCAGTGAGACCTTGGAGAAGCGAGCGAACCTAATAGCTCCCGCAATTAGCATCAGAGCACTACTTGAGGAAGAATCCTCAATGTAACATAAGTGTTGAAGCGTGCTTGTGGGGATGAGGGTAATCAAAAAATGCTCACTACAAGAACCACCCAAAGAAACACACCGGAGGCCTTGGTTGACACATTATCGATGAGGGAAGATGCGTAGTTCGGGTCTCCTCGTTGGAGTGCAACGAAGCCTAAATTATTAGAAAATCTCGACGAGACATAATGCTGAATATCTTGGTACCTGGTTATTTTTAAACTTAGCTTTGAAGTAGATAATGGGATATTTTCTTAGAAAATCGCACTTGATGCATTTACCCCAAGAGATGGATCAGGTCAGGGCCAACATGGGAGATGTTTGAGATATAAAAATACACTTACGTAAGATCCTCAAGTCTTAAACTTGGGCGAGCATTAAACGCATCTGCGAAAACATTCCATTCCCGACTAGACACGCATATCTTGATGTTTGGGGTCAAGCTCAGAAGGTTGTATAAGAATTCGACTAGCATGAGCTGTTCCGAATGATCACCTTTGAACTCGTCGAGTCCGTCAATAAGGAGAAACATCCTTTTCGACTTCGTAATTTCAAGCACAAGTAGCTTGAACGCTTCGAGCAATCCGGCCATGTCTCCCAAAGGTCTCTCGTCTCCGAATAGGATAAAGTGTGTCATTCGATCTCGGAAGATTATTGGGATCAAGTGCGGCAGGTATTCGAAGGCTTCGTAGAGGAGTGTTTTCAGGAGGCCTTCTAGAGACATCTGCAATTCCGTGCCAGAACACCAAAAGTAGAAGCGAGAAACGAAAAGGTCTTCATTGGAACACCATATCTTGAGGTGGCTAATGGTTCGATGGTCGTCACTTATCAGCTTCATCAGAGTTGACTTGCCCGAGGCTGGTTTTCCCGTGATCCAAAAAAGATTTTGATCGCCTTCTAGAAACCGAACAAAGTTGGGAGTACTGTCTTCAGAGCACGAAGAGTAGATCCACTCAAATGACTCTGGATGTGGGCGGGAAATCCCTTGGGCTCGACGATATATGTCGTCAAATTTCAATTCGCGGAAAATGTAAGTCCGAAACCGTTTCATGAACTCATTGCTGAACTGGTTTTCTGGGCTTAACATTAAAGCGTTATGGTCCCAGCTCGCCGGTAGACGCGATTCCTTGCTGGACAATATGGCATTAATGACTTGTTGCTGCCATTTAGTGTTCTGTTCCATGTGAGCGAGAAGGCTGTGGCGGACTTCTTGGGTCACCTGAAGGGTGCTAGAGATGAGGTGGCCATTGTTAGATTGGACAGTCCGCAAGGAGTCGATTTGATCACTAGACGGCCTAATTAGCAAAAGATTCTTTGACTTCATAGAAGAGGGCGTGTACAATAATGAAGCACCGATGGAAAACGAAATATAAATCCGGAATGAATGCAGGCGCAATTCCAACACTTCGATCGCTCTCTTGTTCCATACAGTCTGAAGCGCTTTCCGAAAACTTTCCCACAAGTTGTGTTTTTTTTGAGCGCGGAGCTTTTTAAGCTTGGAAATCAGCTGGCCAGCAATCTCATTACACTCCTCACAGACCCGGCCGATGCGGATCTCGTGATGCGACAATGATTTACCATCTGAGATTCGTTGGCTAAGTGATGACAGTAGGTCATCATTTAATGTCTTCAAGCTAGTGGTGACATTCATGAGATCGCAGTTGATCTTGGTGTCTCCAGCAGGCGTAGCAGACTTGTAGATCTCGTAAGTTCCACGGAGGAGGGTTTCGGTGAAGTTGATGAACTGAACCACGGAAGCGGCCACACCACAGGCAGAGACTGGATCCATCCTAGAGAATATATCTCAAGCGTAGAGGCACGGTTAAAACAGAAAAGAGATTTTCAGCGCCGAATTCCTGGCTATGGGATATATCTGGCAAATGTCTTCGAGGCTTCTCTTCTCTCAAAAACTTCGACTTCCGACTTCTTCGTTGCGATTGAAACGACTCGAAGATAGGTTCCGAATTCGAGGCTTGCTAGCTGGCAACGGTTTCCGGCCCCGTATGCGGGTGAAGTGATTCAGATGATGGCGAGGTTTGCGGGAAAGAATGCCAACACTGCGCAAAGGGAAATTCTTTTCTTTGAGGTTCTTTTGGTTGTTGTTGTTGTTGTTGTTGGCAGGCGAGGCTGTGTGCGCCGCTGGTGAAGCCCTACCGGAAGCCCAACGAGGATTCTTCGTGTGGAGTGGGGGTTTCTTGCCCAAAAGAGATCCCCTCACGGCGTGCCCAACAGCCAGACCGAACTTCAAGATTTCAGATAGTGGGCAGAGAAGAAATCGAGGACGAAGTTAAGTGCTGCTATTGCGAAGTTAAGTGCTGCTATTGAACAGAACTGACTGATCGAAATGTGTGCATCTGGTGTAGTAGACTGCTCTTTTACGACACATCCTCCAGCCTTTGCTCAGAAAAGAGCTTCTCCGGCCGCCAGTACTCAGCCTCCGTCGCCCCCTCCGCAATGATAGAGAGCCCTTCCTGCCCAATATGATTCCTCTCCCAACCAACACGTCTCATCTTCCTATCATTGCCTTCCAGCCCCTCGAGAACAAATCTATCAAGCTGATTCACTGTCTCCAGAGGATTCTTTGACAAATACCTGATCGCTCTCCTCATGACCTCGAGTAGGTTAACATTTGGCCATACATTGTTGAAGCTGTAGTGATCGTGTATCAAAGCTAGCAGCCATTCGCCGCTGGATATGTTTACGGCATTGACGAGGGCTCTTCCGCTGGGGTTCCAATTCTTGATGAGCTCGTGATAGCCTGGGATGAAGATATCTTCGTGGTCTTCTAGGACGGATTGCAACACTTCTAATGCCCGGTGTCTATCTCCTCCAATAAGGAAAGCAAATGCAAACATCCGAGTCCTGAATCTAGATTGCTCATCACCACGGAAGGCAGGCGGGAATTGTAGTCGAAATTTTGTTTGCTCTGCGGACTTCCACTCTGCCCACAAAGCCTTGTTACGTTTGAGCTCCCCGAGCGCCAGGAGATATCTTGGGTATAGCCATGTCGAAAAGGAGGCGCTGCTATCCTGGGCAAAAAGAGAGGCGAAGGAGAGTCCCCGTTCTTTGTCATCCTGTTGGATTCCTTCCTCCCATCCACTGACCAATCGCAAAAAGTCGGATTTCTTAAAGTGTTTGCTTAGATCGAGGCCCTGAGGTGTGTATTTCATGGCTCGAAAAAGCCCTCTGAGAGCTGAGACAGTCCTCCAATCGGTAGCATACGAGTGGGCCCGCAACAACTGAAGGTATTTTCGAGTTGCAACTATATGAGCAGTTTTTCCAGCGTAGTAGAGACCAGCATTACTGAGGCGAGGCCCGAATTCCACTCCCTTTGATTCCATATTCAATTGTAAGTTATTCAGCAGACGCAGCACCATATTCCCCGTAACAATCTCGCAACTTAGCCCTAGCTCTCGATTGCCGTTTTCTTTTCGGCAGAGTCGAATAGATTCTAATATAGCAGTGCTATTTCTGGCTAAGAACTGGCAGCCTTCCACAGTTCGTGAGAGCATCGAGATCGTGCGGCGAAGCTTGGAAAAAACTCTGATTTCGGTGATATGATCGACAATAGCAAGTTCAGAGGCGTCTCCAAACCCAGATGCCCTGAACCGTTCTGCTTCGTCTAATGTAAAATCGTAGGTCAATTGTTGCAGCTTTGTCTCGGCACTATCTTCTGGCTGGACCATTCTCGACCTGAAAAGTGCTCGAAGTTGTGGGTTCCTCTTGCTCGTTCCGGTCGCCTCCGGATCACCAAGTAGAGCATATGAGAATAAATCCGGAGGCGTGGTCTTCAGAATTTTCAGAGGTACTGTAGGCCGCATCTTGCCCTCCTCTACAGTGCCATACTTTTTCTTCATAGACTCGCGACGCCCCCGGAGACTTGGTTGTTCCGGAGGTGCTAGGTTCTCCTCCTCCTCCTCCACAAGGTCTTCCCACCTCCGCACAAACTTGCTATCTGCGGCATCGAGGTCAATGACGAGGCGAGGGAGCACGTATGGCTCGTTTGCGCGTGAGGAAGCCAATCGTCTTGTGGAGGAAACTGGGCGGGGCAACTCGAAGGCGCGCCGGCAGAGAATGCATATTCCCTTCTGGCCCCTCATAGTGGGTTGTCGTTATCGTTGGAGGTTCATTTCGAATTGTTGAGTGTTCCAGAGATGTGAAGCTCGGTCAAAATATTGACTGACTTAACCGCGCTAAAAGTTTAAGGTTTAGCACCCTCCATGTTTTAGACTTCGATTCTCCTTGACTTCCTCAGCCCACAACAACACTCAAGCAAAAATTAAAATGCCACCAGCAAAGAAGCGCAAGACTCGGGCGACCGCTGAAGCAAAAGAACAAGAGAATACGAACCCTCCGGATCCAGAGCCCTCAGCTGCCCAAGAGGTGCCCTCATCATCCACATTTACGTCGGAAGCAGCACCAGCGCAGGCAGAGTCCTCAACCTCTTCAGCTTCAGATGCCGCAGCCAAAGCGAAAGAGCGTATGGAGAGATTCAAGGCCCTTCAAGCACGCGCCAAAACTGGTGCTCAGAAGAACTTGAAGGAAGCAACTCTCGAATCGCAGCGCCTAGCAACCGATCCGAACCTCCTGACTTCTTTAAACCGCAAATCCGCGATCGCTTCGCATAATCTGCTCAAGGCAGACACTGAGGCAGCAGGCGAGGACTTTGAGCGCAAGCGGGCTTGGGACTGGACTATTGAGGAGAGCGAGAGATGGGACAAGCGGCTGAAGAAGAAAGAGGCACATCGAGATGATCAGGCTTTCCAGGATTATCGACAAGATAGCAGGAAAGTTTATAAGCGACAAATTGGGAATCTGAAGCCGGATATGGATCGCTACGAAAAGGAGAAGATGGCAGCTGTGGAGAGGGCTGCTGCCAGTGGAGGCTTGGAGATTGTCGAGACGGACGATGGGGAGCTAGTTGCGGTCGATAAGGATGGCACGTTCTATTCTACAGCTGACTCAACGGGTTTCGTGGAACATAAGCCACCGAAGGACGCCGTTGATAGACTGGTGAAGGACTTGCAGCAGGCAGAGGATGCGAGATTGAAGAAGAGGAAGGAGAGGATGGGACAGAATGGGGAAGATGGAGATGTCACGTACATCAATGAGAAGAATAAGCAGTTCAACCAGAAGCTGAACAGGTTCTACAACAAGGTAAGTTTGTTTTCTGCGTCTCTTCAATCAACTTTCACGCTGACTTTTTTGCAGTACACCGCAGAAATTCGGGACAGTTTCGAGCGTGGTACCATGATATAGATTCATGGCTAGTTGGGAGGAATGGTATCTTGAGTTGGGTTGTCCCGTCTAAATACTTTACAATGCAAGGCTTGAGCCGAGATCCCCAAATCGTACACTCTCCTTGTGCGGCTCACAACATGCTCTTTCTCCAGGCCTGCTCAGCCAGTTGCTCAATCTCTTTGGCCTCGACAGGCCCTTTCACTGTCTGATCACTGAGTGCTTCTACAACGGCATCCGCGACCAGATCAGCCTTCAAGGGTTTCACACCGGCGGCACCCATGATTCCCCCAAATATACCTCCCGTGACGCTGTTGAACACCGCCCCTAATCCAGTCATAGCTGCCAAGGGTACTGTGATCGTCCTCGAACTGTCATACAAGAATGGTGGTCTAATAAACACACCCCTCATGGTGGGAAATTGGCTACTAATCGTACTCTCCGCCTCTCGTTTCGTCCGAATATATCTTCCTGGGAGCACCGGCGCTCCACCCGCAGCACTAATATAAATAAAAGCTGACACCTTCTCCTTATTCGCCTCCTGCGCCAACGTGATAGCCGAATCTCTATTTATAAGCTCATAAGTCAACTGCCCATCTTTCTCTTGTGACCTCAAATCCTCGTTCGCTTTTCGAGTCAATGGATTCTGGGAGCCGCCTTTGGTGGGTGAAAATGCCCGCTGTAGACCGGCGATGGGTGATTCGCGACCGGATATTACGCCTTTGTAGTCTGCTTCGAGGAGGATGCCCATACTGTGGACGACGAAGTCGGCGTTCTTGAGGAGGGGTGAGTAGGTGCTTGGTTTGAGGATGTCGGCTCGTTCCCAGGTTACTTTGTGAGCCCACGCTGGAGGTGTAGAGGATGCGGTCACCGATTGCCATGCTGGTTCACCGGAGCGACTGTGGAGACGTTGTTAGCAACCCGTTTCCTCGTTGAAGTTACGCTTTCAACAATTTGAGAAGCGTGAACCAACCTGATTGAAGTGACATCCCAGCCTCTTGCAACGGCAGATTTGCATATTCGTGAACCCAAAAAGCCATTGCCACCGCAAACAACTATCTTCTTAGCTGTCGCCATACTGAATCGGCTCTCATTGACATCTCATGAAGCAATTCAGAAGAAACAAGCGATGTCGTCAATGTTTTGCTCCAAGAGGGGAGCATTGACCATGCTGCAGCACTAACCGATTTCCAAGGTCAATGCACACCCCAAGCGAATGCACACCCCAAATTTTCAGCCCACCTCGGACTTAATTAATTAATTATTAAATAACCACACTATTAATCGGTCTAAAATTAAAGATATAGAGTAATTGAACTAGGCGCATTAAGTTGGCTAACCAGGATTTTTTATTTTCTAAGACATTGAGGTAAAATAATCTCCTTTCCTGATCGGGAAGTCTGTACCACCCCTATAGCTTCAGAATCGTCCTCTTCCACGATTACCGCTTCCTGAGCCCCTAAATTCAATAAAATCGAAGACCCTACCCTCAATATTACTATACGGGACGGTTTGGCTTTCTTAGCAGCATTTCTAGCTGCCGTAGCTGCCTTTCTTGCTACTGCTCTCTCCAAAACCTCCATTTTATGCTTCTCCCTCTTTACTCCATCGTCAATCTCTTTTTGCTTCGCCTTCCTTACCTTCTCTACCTCCTTCTCCTGCTTTTCCAAGGCATCTTTTATCGCTTTAGTAATCTTTGCATCCTCCTTTGCCTTCTGCTTATCCAATTTTTCTTGTTCTGCCTTCGCAGTCTTCGTCTCCTCAAATACTATTGCAGCTAGTACTTCAGCTGTTCCAAAGAACTGGGCCTTTCCTACAGGCTCTCCTGTCAAATTAAGCTTTTTCCCTCGATGTCTCTTCTTCTTTTCAAGCTATAAAGCTTCTTTCAAACCCTCTGTACGGTGCTCTGTAATAGAAGCCTTTGCTATATTCGATTCGTTCGCTTTGGTAAGCTTGCGAAAGGCCGCTTTGGATAGGTTCTTTGTATAGATTTTCGAGAATTGCCGTATATGTTTTATAGTATAAGGAGTCGCAATTACATTGAGAGGGGCTTTAGGAGGAGTTTGTGGCCTTAATAGGGCAATAGCTAAAAGGATAATTAATAGTTAGTACGGCCATATACCCGTCTTCTTCCAAGTAGATAAAATATTCGATTTAGACATACTTTTGTCCCAAGCAGGCTTGAAAACAGACCAAAATGTCCTTTTTATTAAAGAAGAAATATCCTTACTAGTATCCAAAAGCCTATTAATCTCGGTAGAATAACAAGTAGAAAGTAGTAAAAAGCAGCCTATATTAAGAGATTAAAGACGGTATATCGAATACGGAGGTAAAATAAGAAGCAGAATTTTAAGGTAATCACATATCCGTATAAACTCTATATTAATGTAGCTAGAATGCCTATCTATAATTAAAAGCCTCCTCCCACGTCCTGCTTTCGTACGAGTAGCGGGATTAAAAACCTGGGTAAGATATACTATACCAAGGGTATTAGATAACTATCTATTTATACTAGACGTAAACCAGGCATATTCTCTCTCTTTTAAATTATCTAACTAGCTATCCTAAAGGTCTCTAGAGACTTCTTTGTAAATAAGAGCCAGTGGAATCTTTATACTATCCGCACAAATAGAGGCAAGCAAGCTAATAAACTCTCGCGAGCCATCTTACTTTACTATTATAATTTTCCTACTATCATATGCTTGTTTCGTTATTATACGCTTTATTATACGTATAATTCTAATTAAAAAACCCTTCTCGTTCTAATTATATACGTTTTCTGCTATAATATTATAATTCTCGATCGCTTTAATTAACTAAGTAAGGGAGGGGAATATTAGCCATTTTATCCACAAAGTAAGCAAGAAATAAATAAAATACTAAAATTAAATATTACTAAATCAAAAAAGAACTAAATATAGGGCCTATATTCCGATTTTATTTGCAGATTATTAATATTCCGTAAATAAAGGCTCTTGAGACGTATAGAGTGGCATTAGACGAAACCAGCCGTCTAGTTCTTGTTCATATCGCCTCCAATAATCTCCTCTGCGAGATTTTTGATAATCTATAAGGTTAGAGGAAGCCTACGTACTATAAGCTTATTAATTTGATTAATGAGAGCCTCTTCTTGCATATCGGTAAGAAGTTTATGGTATAGAGAGGTTGCTTCTTGTCTGGAGGCACATATCCCTTTATACCTTCGCATAAGGGTGGTACGTTCAATACCAAAATCTCTAGTAACCTGGCTATAATTGGGTATTAATTGCGCATTCAGCGCATCAATCGCTTTCTCAATATCTTGTTCGCTCACCATTTTATCGAATTTTGAAGATGGTGGGATAATTTT